GCACACCCATGTTTCTGCCTATAATATTGCTCCCCATATGTGAAGTAGGTTGACTGCAGGCACAGTTTCAAGAGTTGACACAGTTGTTCTGTGGAAGTTGCTCGACCTTCTGGTTGAGGATCAGTAATTTAAATTTATAATTTAATATTTCTTGAATTTGATTTAAATACAAATATAGAAATCATCACATAAACCAGACCAATAGGAAGATTAAATGTTTTTTATTGTCAAAATAAATTTAGACATTATTTCAAATTTAAATAAATTACATTTGAGTTTAAAGGCACAATAAACATCTTCACACTTCTCAGAGACTGCTGAATGTGTAAAAACTTCATCTAAGAGATAAATTACAATAAAGGGTGGGATTTAATCGTAGCAGAAAATCTAATGTTTGCACAACAAAATAACTGGGTTCATTTTAAAGTCTCTGTAGAACAGTACACGTTTAGGGAATTTTGTAAGTATGCATATAAACATCCAACAATTACTTTATAAATATTTGCTCCTTTTTAAAGGTATTATCAAATGTTTTATTGTCAAAAATCAATGAGGCAAAATAATATTACATGTTCACATCAATCTTTTATTCATCAAAGGTTTTAAAAAAATTCTGGGTGAAAACTGTTGTAGTGAATAAATAGAGAGTTGTTCTTCACTCGTGCCGGAGACGTTTCCTCGGAGACGATGGAGGCTCCAGGGAGAAGGCAGTGGGAGAAACAGGACGGGACTCTGGGAAGTATTCTGTCTGATACTTGTCGATGTAAGGTTTGGCCACATTCCACACCTGAGAGGTAAACATGTAGTTTACGTGATCTAAGCCACAACATTAACTTACTTTTGATTTCAAACGTTACAGAACTTGCCTTCTGGTCGAGGATGAGACGGTGAACAGCTTCGATGTCTGGAGACATGAATCTGTCTTTGATCCACGGTCTGTCCACAGCAGAAGAAGAGGGGGGTAAAGAGGATAAAAATTAACTAACCCGTGCATCATTTAGTGGTTTGAAAGCTGTGTACCTTGGCCTCATCTGTTTGACTTACTTGACTACACTGCGCACGAGGTCATAGACCTTCTCCAGAGGGGTGGTAGTACGAAGAGGGCGGAGGAACTCGATACCCTGACAGGCCACCAGCAGCTCTATAGCAAGAACTGATCACAGAGATCATCTCTTCCGTTAATCAAACATGCAACGTTGCATTAGGCCACTTAAATGTTTTATTTAGAAACAAATCTGTGCATTTGAAATTGAAGCAACATCACATGTCACTTTATGTGAGAAATTCAACTAATCTATATTTACTGGTCAAAGTTGTATATTTCATACTACACACATAGAGTAATCATGTTTGAGCCAGCAGGCGGTCAGGGTTTGGGTTCGGCCCCTCAGTGATGGACAATCTTAATGCTTCAGCAGAACAAGACATACTGGACAATGTTTGTCCAACTTTGTGCAACACTTTGAGAAAGGTCTTTTCTATTCCAACATGACTGTGCCATAGTGCACAAAGCAAGACTTGGTTTGATGAGTTCAGGTTTGGAAGAACTTTACAACTCAGAACCATGTCCTCAACCGCATCAAGAACCTTTGGGATGAAGAAGAATGAGAAATGTGAACCAGACCTTATGGTTCAAATGACCTGACTTCATAAATGCTCAACAAAAACAGTAGGCACAAATTCCACAACATATTGTGAAAAGTCTCCCATAAAGAGCTATTGTTGTAGAGCATTATTTCTCCAGCAAGTCCTGGAGGTCTCCTCAGCCACTCTCTGGAGGAAACTCATGTCAGTGGCTTGTAGTTGGAATCTCATTCTTTCAGTCACAGCCGTGACTGTAGGTGAGGGCTGGAACAGTTTCACCTTTCAGCTCAGCTCTTTCTCCAATCTGTCCATCAGTCTCCCGCTCCATTCCACCACCAGCTGTGAACAAGACCCCCCAACATACTTGAACTCCTCCACGAAGAGAAGTGGCTGACTTCCAACCCAAAGGTGACAACCCATCCTTTACAAGCTGAGAACCACAACTTTATGACTTGGAAGAAGCTCATCTTTATCCTGGTTTCTTCACACTGTTCTGCAAACCCCTCCAGTGCCCGACAGAGGTTTATCCATCCATCCATCCATTTTCTTCCGCTTATCCGGGGTCGGGTCGCGGGAGTAGCAGCCTAAGTTGGGAGGCCCAGACTTCCCTCTCCCCAGCCACTTGGTCCAGCTCCTCCAGGGGAGTCCCGAGGCGTTCCCAGGCCAGCTGAGAAACATAGTCCCTCCAGCTTGTCATGGGTCTTCCTCTGGGTCTGTTCCCGGTGGGACGTGTCCGGAACACCTCACCAGGGAGGCGTCCAGGAGGCATCCCAACCAGATGCCCGAGCCACCTCAAGTGGCTCCTCTCGATGTGAAGAAGCAGCGGTTCTACTCTGAGTCCCTCCTGGATGACTGAGCTTCTCACCCTATCTCTAAGGGAGAGCCCAGACACCCTGCGGAGAAAACTCATTTTGGCCGCTTGTATCCGAGATCTCGTTCTTTCGGTCACAACCCAAAGCTCATGACCATAGATGAGGGTAGGAACGTAGATCGATCTGTAAATAGAGAGCTTCTCCTTTTGACTCAGCTTCACCACGACAGACCAGTACAGCACCCGCTTCACTGCAGACGCTGCACCTATCCGCCTCTCGATCTCACGTTCCATTTTTTCCTCATTGGTGAACAAGACCCCAAGATACTTGAACTCTACCACTTGGGGCAGGACCTCCTCCCTGACCCGGAGAGGTTTATTTATTTATTTATTTGCTTGATTAGGCCAAGAGGATGACATCATCCACAAAGAGTAGCAATACAGACTAAAACTTCTACCCCTTGGAGGTTTCTTTTGTATGGGCCTGGCTTGTATATTACTGGATTTTCAAATCATCTAATGCTAAAAAGAATTTCAGTCTGTATAACTGAACTAAAGAAAGGATTATATTGTTATTTTTTTCACATTTGGGTTAAACTTTATTTGCATTTTACTGTCACTTTGCCAGAAATAATAAAAACTAACAGTGTGCTTTGAAGGAACGCCTCACCTTGCTCCACATGCTCTACAACTCTCAGGGCTTTCCGAGCCGCCCAGCCTCCCATGGACACATGGTCCTCTGTGGCAGCACTGGTGGACAAGGAGTCCACGGAGGAAGGGTGACACAAAACTTTATTTTCTGAAACTGAAGAGATTAAAGGCATTTTTCTTCTCTGATTCTGAACAGTAGGGAACACAAATACAACCAACAAACTGCAAAACAAATGTATTTTGTCCATCGTGAGTTTGTAACGCCTTCACATGCTATAGTCACACACCAACCTAAAGAGGCGGCCGTACAGTGGGCAATCATGAATCCTGAGTTGAGGCCGCCCTCATTGACGAGGAAGGCTGGCAGTTCACTCAGGGAGGGGTTACATAACCTCTCGATCCTCCTCTCACTGATGGAGGCCAGCTCATGGACTGCAATGGCTAAAAAGTCTAGAGCCTTAGAGAGACAAATGGCAATAAACATCGACAACAATAAAGTCCACAACAAATACGTGTTTCATCTCTCACAAACCTTTGATGGGTATTCACCGTGGAAATTCCCACCTGAAATGGTCTCGCCTCGTTCTGCAAACACCATCTTTTACCAGCATTAAAGAGAAACAAATAGTAGAGATCTTATTTCTAACATCCGTACGTGTTAAACCAGATTCATGAAGCAGATTAACCAGTTAGTTTACAGGATTATGAAGGATACAGGGTTGTCTGTGGCGCTGTTGATTTCTGTATTGATGATGTTCTGGACAAATTTTATGGTGTCGTTTGTAATTCCATGAACCTGTGTGCAAGAGAACAAATCTCAGAGACAGCTCTGTTAATTAGTTTAATCACAGCACTTTGCTTGCTAGAAAAAAAAAACCTGTGTTTTATAATCTACAAATTTAGCCAACAGCTTAAGGACATGGTTGTGAAAGAAAAATTATACTGCTAGTTATACTGCATAAAATAAACTAGCAAATAGTCTACGCAGTTTGTGTGATCTTAAGATGGTCTCAGTTGAAAACGTGTGCATGAAAGGCAGCAGGTGATATGCATTCCTTTAAGGAATGATCGGCATTTACTGGTTTTGTTCTCGTGGTTTTGTAAAATATCTTTTGTTTTATAATACAGTTTTGGTTGCCTTGGTTGTCTTTGACCCCATTTTTTTTATGTCAGATCACTTCCTGACTCATTTTGGTTGTTTGTTTTCTTTTGTTGCCTTGGCCTGTCACACCTGGTTTCACTCAGTTATTAATTGTCCCGCTTACAATTTCAGCCTGGGTAATTGTGTTCTTTTCTTGATCCTTCTTTCATAATTGTATCTGTCTGCCTTTCTCCTGTTATTTATTTTACCTGGTCTAGTTTATCCTGCTACTGCTGCATCTTTAATTTGGTTTTGTTCATCCCTTGGTTCCTGGGATACTTGGTGCACAGACAGAGTTGAGTCCAAAAACCTAAGGGCAAAACTGAAAACAAAGTTCTTGCACAATCTGTTTGTGCTCAGAATCAGTCTCAGCTACCACCAAACCAAATTCCAGGTCAACATCTGTAAAGTTGACAGATCTTGCGTTTGTTTGACTTCAAAAGGTAATCAACTCTAGATTATTAGTTTCTGAGATTTTATTTCAAAATCTGTGTCTAGTTGTTTAAGTGATATCTTAATTGCAGACATATGAACACACAAATAGACAAAAACATTATCACCCACTCTTCGTGTTTGGTGATGAATAATAATTAATTTGTGTTGAGGTTTCTTACCTGAGGGCAGCACCGCATGGTGTAAGCATCCTGAACTCTGTCACAGAACCTGTGGCTCTCTAGAAAAACACACCAACACCAAACACAGAAATATATGTTTGAAGGTTACTGAAGAGCAGGTATGATGTGGCAAGAAACATTTATTATTTTTAATCCATGAAGGCAAAGACACCATCTGCATTTGGCCCATCCCAAGTGCAGAATAGACTCCGAGTAGTCATGTTATTGAGTTGTATTTACAAGCACAGAATAAGAAATTTATCTTGAAAGTGTATTTTTATTTGAAGAAAAATATGTTTAAATAAACTATGTCAAAATTTTTCACAAGTATGTCTGGCACTATATATATATATATATATATATATATATATATATATATATATATAT